AAATGTCGGAATCGACCAGCCCTAGAAGGCAGCATAAGAGCAGTATGACTAAATCTAAGCCTTGAGACTACAGTTTCTACTTGCTATTACATGACCTTCCACTTCGTACATATCACGTTATTTCCTCCTGTTCTATTAGGATAAACTACTCTTCATTCACCAAGTAAATCAGTCTCCGTAAAGACCGTCAAAAATTGCCAGTGCCGACTATATTTCAAGTCGTCACGGCGGGGTATTGGGTAAAGTTTTCAATTAGCAATAATCGCGCCTCGGATAAACCTCATAGGCTACGATACTGCCACTGCGCAAAGCTGACGGTAAGCTGTCCAGAGAGGGGACGCGTCCAAACGACGCACGAGTTCCCTCGACGGTAAGCATACTTACTCTTCCCTCTCCTATAGACAGGGTCACTGTGAAGGTGGATATGCAAATCGAAATGCTGCAGCAGAAATAAGTCGTGAGAAATATGTGTTTAATGAACGTTTTAAACATATGCATGTATATATATATATATATATATATATATATATATATATATATATATTATGCATGCTGGGATATACAGCAGTTTTCAATTATACTGAGAACAAAGTGCCAGGAATCGTTATATATGTATATATATATATATATATATATATATATATATATATATATAGACTATTGGTTAACCTCGCGCAGTGCATGCTGGGATATACAGCAGTTTTCAATTATACTGAGAACAAAGTGCCAGGAATCGTTTACAAACGTAATTTCATAACATAGACGCACGCGCGTAAATGAACGTCCATGTTCTCTGCAGTCAGTGGCAATGCAACGCTGTGATTCCTTGTTTGTTTTTCGCATCTATAATGTGCAGCCCGCTTTTATTGTCGGAACTGCAAGTGGCCACCAGAGGGCGGTATTTATCTTAAAATAATGATCCCCACTTGACTATATATTTAGCTTCGAGTGATTCAGTTTGTAAATCTGTTTAAAACGGTGCTTAATTTGGAATATATTAAATGATATTAATTTAAATGCGAATTAAACATCAAATTCGCCAGTGGAGTTGGACAAGTTATCACTCGAGTTTGTTGCAGCTGATGAAGGTTCATTAGCTGGACATTAGAACATCACGTCTGTGTAAAATGTTGCACAATATAAACCCCGGTCTACAAACGTAGTTGTATGTGTCTTCATATCGTGTAATTATTCAAACAATATTATTGGGAACATAACTTATTTAAACGGTTCAGAGTGCTAACTTTCGGGACATTCACGATGTTCACTAAATGTTTGACTAGCTAACTTAGTTCTTAATTACTCGCAACAAATACATACACAATACACACATAGGCTAATGCAAATAGCATCAACAGTCGGGTAATGTTTACCTGCCTGACTTCCAAATTGATCAACGTTTATCAAATATGATCTTGCTAGTCGCAACAAGCCAGAGGTCGCCAACACATGCAGTTTCACCAGTTCACCACCAGAGGTCGCCAACACACGCAGTTTCACCAGTTCACCACCAGAGGTCGCCAACACATGCAGTTTCACCAATTCACCACCAGAGGTCGCCACGAACCTGGCATCACTATCAGTTATCCTACATTTTCACTGTTTACACTTTGTTTTTCCTTTAATATTATACTTACTTGCTTCTGTTTTGATGGTTTTTATTTGTTATTGATTTATTTTCGTGGATCATTTCAGCCCTAATTCATCTATTAGGTTTCATTGATAGAGATGATTGAAATAAAAATCCCAGAGCTTTATTGAGCACATACAGTTTATTACAAATCAAATGAATAATGACAAGTTGATTAAGTTTAATTAAATGTGAAACATATAGTCATTGTCCATAGTACATTGCATTTAAATACAGAGTCATACAGTGGTAAGTCGTGCTAAAACGGAAGATTAAAAATAATGATTCTTTATTGGCATTGATGGTTCCGTGAAGAACCTTTAATATCCACAGAAACTTTCCATTTCACAAAAGGTTCTTTAGATGCTTAAAATAATCTTCACACTAAGAAAAAAAAAAAAGGTTCTTTTAAGAACTGTGGACTGAAAGGTTCTTTTGGAAGGAACCAAAAACGTTTATTCTATATCATCACTGTGAAAACCCTCTTTTGGAATCTTGTTTTTAAAAGTGTAGTGACAGATTGTTTTTTCATATAGTGATCTACATGCAAGTGTAACAGATTATCAAAAAAAAAATGTAGAGCGAGGACTTGCATATGTTAACCAGAGAGAAGTCTATTTTTACTGGAAGGTTCAGTTATGATGTGAAAATGAATGAAATTAATGAATTTTTCACAATAAGATCTGTAATATGCTTTTAGAAAATTTCACGTCAACTAATATGCCTAATTATTTGTGTAGCTCTTTGGAATTGATTATTATTTGAGGATTAACAGTCATACAGGAAACCATCTATTATAATCAGAATTATAATGTCAAAAACATTTAATAAATGACTGGCTTGGCCAACTCTGGCCCTCGAGATTCACTTTCCTGCAGAGAGAACCCTGAACAAACTCACATACCTAGCTTTCTGGGCCCCTGCGATCTCACAAGACCATATAGGACAGTGTTTCCCAAGCCTGTCCCTGGAGGCACACCAACACTATACATACAGTGGGTACGGAAAGTATTCAGACCCCCTTAAATTTTTCACTCTTTGTTATATTGCAGCCATTTGCTAAAATCATTTAAGTTAATTTTTTTTCCTCATTAATGTACACACAGCACCCCATATTGACAGAAAAACACAGAATTGTTGAAATTTTTGCAGTATATATATATATATATATATATATATATATATATATGAAAATGTTGCCTCTCTCAACATGGTGTGCCCCTCTCTGTGGCCACTGTCCTCAATGCACACTTCTGCTAAGCACTGAGGTAAGCTCCACAGCAGACTTACACCCAACGGTCAAAGCAGCATTACGTCACAAAAGAGTGGACCATGAGGGCTTAGGGCAGTTCCTAACCCTGGTCCTGGAGGCACCCCAACACTGCACAATTTGCATGTCTCCTTAATCAAACACACCTGATTCAGGTCATCAGCTCATTAGTAGAGACTCCAACACCTGAAACTGGTGTGTCAGAGAAAGGAGACATGCAACATGTGCAGTGTTGGGGTGCCTCCAGGACCAAGGTTGGGAACCACTGGCTTAGGGTACCATTTGGGACAGAGCCTAGTAATCCTAAAGATCTTGATTAGCTTGTTCTGGTGAATTTTATTAGGGTTGAAGCTAAACTCTGCACAAAAGTGGATCTCGAGGGCCAGAGTTGCCTAGATGAGAATGGTTCTAAAGAACGACCAGCGTCTTGACCAGCTACAAGCTACTCGTAAATTAAAGTAGTTAAGCTACATTCAAGCTACCCTTCTGAAAAAGTAGCTAGCTACATTGAAACTATTTTCAATTTATTATTATTATTATTTTACAATTAATATTACAAATAACTAAATAATTATTAATGAAGAATTATAATGAAGTTATAAGTAAAATATAATGAAGTTATAAGTAAAATATTTGGGGTTTAAAACAACATACTGTAATGCAATCATGATTTCAAAGAGTAGGGTGAATTCAGGTTGATTGGGACACTGTTCCAAGCCATTTCAATGACAAAAAGTGTCCCAAACATTTGATTTTGTAAACTATTCGATACACACAATAATAAAATACTGTATAGTTAAATAGTTATTTTAGTTATAGTATATTGCTACAAACGCAACATCAATGCAAGAACAAAATGTATGCAACTTAAACTGGATACGGAGGAGTCATAAAATAAGCGGGTTAAACTCACAGCACATGTGGTATTTACTGACTGTGAATGGAGACGTCAATCACCAGCTGCGCTCGTGAACACTGCGTTTTGATAAGCACACTACTATATCGCGATTTTATTTTCTGTTAGATTAGTGTTCATTACAAAATTGTGGGGGGACAGATTATAATATGACCATTCATCATTGTAAAATAGACATTTGATCTGGAGTGCAATAAAGAAGAAAAAATTATCAGTTTAAAAAGGCTATTATTCACCTCCTGTATGTGCTTTAAGTATTCGATGTAGACCACATTTTAATCTTTGTTTTGCGTAAATTACAGTTGATTCATGTGACATATCCACTCCTGTATATCCTTTGCAATATCATCAGACGATCTCTTGTCAGTGGAAAGACTGTAAAGCTGCGAGATGCATGATATCACAACAGATGGCGGTAATGAACAAATTTAGTTTGTGAACTAGTCAGAAGAAGACATCACAGGCTCGCAAGAACACAAAACAGAATGTAGCGTTTGGTTGCGCTACACCGCTACTTGCTGGAAAAAGTAGTTGGCTACAGGAAAAGCTACTCCCCAACACTGAGAAAGACAGGTGAAAATCGTAAACCAGGCATTTTGTCATGTGATGCAACTTCTTGATTTGGTCCACCCTCAGGGGTGAGGAACTGCACTTTGGGCATAGCAAGAGTGGAATTGTTGAGGTGCATAGAGCTGTCCTTGCACACAGAGTTTTTCTGGCACATGGGGGTCCTCTTGTGCAAAGAGTTCTGGAACAACAACTTGTTCTTCTGGAGCGTCTGGATCAGGATGGAGGGCTTCTCGTCCATCTCACTGGCACTGCGGCGCGAGGTGACCACCTTGACCGTGTTCCCAAACTTTGAGTAGTCCACCAAGTAGCTTGTTCTGGTGTATTTATTAAAGTTGGAGCTAAACTCTGCAGAAAAATGGATCTGGAGGGCCAGAGTTGCCCAGGATGGGAATAATCAAAAAATAGAGGAAACCATAGACAAGAGCATGACAAGGATCAAGAGAAAGACAAGGACTTAAAGAAAGACAGGTGAAAATAAGTAGTCCACCAAGTAGCTTGTTCTGGTGTATTTATTAAAGTTGGAGCTAAACTCTGCAGAAAAATGGATGGGAATAATAAAAGGATGCCCAGGATGGGAATAATAAAAAAATAGAGGAAACCATAGACAAGAGCATGACAAGGATCAAGAGAAAGACAAGGACTTAAAGAAAGACAGGTGAAAATCGCTAACCAGGCCATTTGTCATGTGACTGCTAGATTTGGTCCACCCTCAGGGGTGAGGAACTGCACTTTGGGCACGGCGAGGGCGGAATTGTTGCGCCGCATGGAGTTGCTCTTGCGCATAGAGTTGTTCCGGCGCATGGAGTTCCTCTTGCGCAAAGAGTTCTGGTGCGACAACTCACTCTTCTGGAGCGTCTGGATGAGGATGGAGGGCTTCTCATCCAGCTCACGAGCGCTGCAACGCGGGGTGGCCACCTTGACTGTGTTCCCGAACTTTGAGTAGTCCACCGAGTACACACCCTCTTCCTCGGTCACTATAGGCACGAATCGGTGGCCCCACTGGATCTCCTCGTTCACGTACGAGGTGCGAGCCTGAGTGGAGATGCCTGTGGTCTCCACCACACCTTCCAGGATCACAATGACCTCCAGATCACTACACTGCAACTCCATCGCCGAGAGATCGTACAGAGGACTATCCTTATCGATGACGTGACATATGATCAGGGGAGCCAACAGGAAGATGCTGTTGCCGGCAACTGCGCTTTCTGTCTGGACGTCGATCTGGTGAATGGGTATGATTTCGCCCTCTGGCGTAGTGGTCTTCCGGACCACTTGGAGGCGCACAACCGCGTTGATGATCATGCTTTTGCGCAGATCCCCCACCCGGATCATGAAGCACAGGCGGTTGTTGCGCACGGTGATGACGGCGTAGCGGCTGAAGATGAGGGTCTCAGCGCGCCGGTGGGATTGGGCGGTCTTCATGAAGATGCAGCCCAGCATGACAGCGTTAATTATTAGGCCGATGATGTTCTGTAATATGAGCACCGTGATGGCTGTGGGACACTGCTCTGTTATCATACGGCCTCCAAATCCTATTGTCACCTGCACCTCGATGGAGAAGAGGAAGGCAGATGTAAAAGAGCTGGAAAAGATAAAGAGAAAAGACCAAAGAGTATTAGGCTATTAAAATAAGAGGAATAAAAACATCCAAGTAACAACATTATCCACATAAAAAAACAAAAAAACAGTTCTATTAATGGTTTCTACTTAATACTATGCATATTGAAATGTCTATCATGATTTTGAAATTATTCTTCTATTTTTTTTAAATGAAACATTTTCCTGATCAGTACATATGATCACATTCCATAATTAAAATTTTTTTTTAAATGTCAAAGTTTTAGTGATTTTTACTATTAATTTGTGGAAAATGCAGATAAAGAATGAGGTATGTCTACACACTTTACTAGTATTGCAGGCTCTAGGCAACATTTTCATTCATATATATATATATACACTGAACAAAATTATAAACGCAACACTTTTGTTTTTGCCCCCATTTTTCATCAGCTGAACTCAAAGATCTAAGACTTTTTCTATGTACACAAAAGGCCTATTTCTCTCAAATATTGTTCACAAATCTGTCTAAATCTGTGTTCATGAGCACTTCTCCTTTGCCAAGATAATCCATCCACCTCACAGGTGTGGCATATCAAGATGCTGATTAGACAGCATGATTATTGCACAGGTGTGCCTTAGGCTGGCCACAATAAATCCAGCAACTTCGCACAGCCATTGAAGAGGAGTGGACCAACATTCCACAGGCCACAATCAACAACCTGATCAACTCTATACGAAGGAGATGTGTTGCACTGCGTGAGGCAAATGGTGGTCACACCAGATACTGACTGGTTTTCGGACCCCCCCAAACCCCCCAATACAGTAAAACATTTTAAAGTGGCCTTTTATTGTGGCCAGCCTAAGGCAGACCTGTGCAATAATCATGCTGTCTAATCAGCATCTTGATATGCCACACCTGTGAGGTGGATGGATTATCTCAGCAAAGGAGAAGTGCTCGCTAACACAGATTTAGACAGATTTGTGAACAATATTTGAGAGAAATAGGCCTTTTGTGTACATAGAAAAAGTCTTAGATCTTTGAGTTCAAAATGGGGGCAAAAACAAAAGTGTTGCGTTTATAATTTTGTTCAGTGTGTATGTATGTGTATATATATATATATATATATATATGAAAATGTTGCCTAGAGCCTGCAATACTAGTAATTAGATTATTTCAGTTAATAAATTAAGGTTTTTAATATATTAGCAATTTGTAATTATATATAAAATTTAAATTTGTTATTATATGGCCTAATCTTTATAAATATAATTATTTTATAATTATTGTTTTTAAATGTTGAAAATTAGTAACATTTACACAAATGTAGGAACGAAGAAGAATGAGTTATTACATAGTACTTTATTCTTCATAGAAATATATTTATTTACATTTATACATTTATATATATATTTCCTTTTCAACAAGTTCTGCTTTATGCTGTACTATTGAGCTGAACTGACACCAACATAAAAAAAACTTTCATTTACTAGAATTAAATGAAAATATATTTTATTTCAGTTATTAGTTTGCCATTATAAATCTGTAATCTGTAAATCTATAAGTTTTAATACAGGATATACATATTTAGACATATAATTAATTTATTAAAATATAAATATAAATATAATAACATTACATTACTGCACAAACATATAACACAGTCAAGGTCGACTCTTTTAATTTTTTACAATAACTGAAACAACCTGGGCACACTTACTTGACATTAGTGAAACACTGCTCTACGCCAGGTTTACGGTTAGTGTCCAGATCTCCGTGCGCAAAGGCCACCAGCCACCAGAACATAGCGAACAGCAGCCAGCTGCACAGGAACGTCATGGAGAAAATCACCAGGGTGAAACGCCATTTGAGATCCACCAAAGTAGTGACCACGTCCTGCAGGAATCTGCCCTGCTCGCGGATGTTCTTGTGCGACAAGTTGCATGCGCCGCTCTTGGCGATGAAGCGCGCTTTGTTCACGCGGTCCCTGAACACGGGCTTGCGGGGAATCGGCGACACGAGCGCCGGGGAGAACGCGAAATCTTCGGGAATGATGCTTTTGCGCGGCAGCATTATTTAAGCAGGTCACTTGCAAACGGTCAGGAAAAAAGAATCTCCATTCAACGACTGTCAAAAGCGCAGCTCCAGTTCAATAACGGTCCTGCATCTGCCCTCTAACTCTGTTCAGCTAGCATAAACTAAAGTTAAGAAAGTTATTTTGCATCTGTCAGACCTTAATCTGGGTTCTTGTGTCAGTTTATACAATAAACACCACATAAACATCAGAACACACTCACCGCGTAAAGGCTTCAAAAAGTATCTTTATGATGATTGTGCTGCGCTCTTACAGGACTTTACACGCATGGGCGGTACATCACTGTCCTGCTGCCTCCGAGAAACATTCACTCTGGAGAGAAGAGTAAAACTACTTTCAAAGATTTCATTAAGTAAATCTGCCCGTATTTTATAGATTAAATATAAACTTTTATAGATTATCATATGAAACTGAAGTAGCCTAAAATAGAGTTAGTCATAGAGAAACTATAGCCTTTATAAAATAGACCATTATAATAGGAACAGATAAACTGGCAGACAAATTTGTGAGAAATGTAAATGGAGAAAAAACAATGTGTGTGTCTGTGTCAGTGCAATGTAATGAGTTATTGAAAGAGTGCAAGTGCTTTCAAACCGGGTCTGGGGACACCCGAAGACCGCAAGGGGGCGCTAGAAAGACAACATTTTAGTTTAATTTAGTTTTTAATTGAAAAACATATATTTTAGGTAACAGGTAACTTTTTATACTTTTATATTATTCGACACATTTATTGAATGCACATTTTTGTTTTATTTTGCTTTCTGAAGACTTATGAGATTATGAGATTAATTGTGAATGTTTTGTTTAGTTGACAGCCCTATTTTTTAACAATCAAATAGTAGTAATAAACCTAAATGTGCCTATTGTTTTTTTTTTTTTTTATTCTATGAGACACACACACACACTTAAGAATAAGCTAAGAATAGTTTGAATCTGCAGTTTCTCCTCGATGTTGTCTTTAGCTGCTCACTGATTAAGGCAATGTTCTCCGTAAAACATGCTTTGGTATGATATTTATTGTGAAAAGTGCTATAGATAAATCTGAATTGATAATGTTTTTCTTTAGGTTTATATATCTAACTTTATCCTAATAGAGAGTATAGGATAAAAGACGCTGTCAACTTACAAAGTAAACATTATCCAGATTGGCTTTGGCTTCAGTACATTTGTCTTTATAATATCACAATTAATATGTTTCTCTCACAGTATAAATGGGTTTCTGTATATGGAAATATATAGCTGCCTTTTATAATTTAGTAAAGAGGCAAGATTTTTAAGTATTTGGGAGTCCTTGGCATCAAGTTCCATGACTTAGTCAAAATGTGCACAGAAGGGGGCGCTGTGTAGCAAACTATTTTTTCCTGCCCAAGGGACTTCGAAGTAATGCAAGAGTTAAATGTGACAATTATAGTCTTTTTTTTTTTTTTTTTACATTTTCACCATTTAGTAAATAGTTTTCAGTTTTATAATTGCTTTACCCTTCTAATCACTGAATATTAGTGCATATGCTAAGGTACTCAACAGAGATAAGTAAACACACAAAGCAATTTTTATTTTCATTTCATGTGTACAAAAAAGTTAGGCACACAGAACAATGCTGTTAAATGCTTATGATACAAATGCCATATTAATAACAGGCCTATTTACATTTAAAACAGTCCGTCATGACTAACATGCAAATACCTGAAATTTGCAGTAGGTAATTACAAAAAACATGACATGTTTTTGACTGAAATGTGCTGCTGTTGGCTCTTAGGTCAGTTTCATGTCATGTTTACACATCACCAGAGTGTGTAAAGCGTGTCAGTTGCACTTTTACGCACATGGTTGCCACAAGTTACTGGAATATCACTGCGCAAGTGTAACATCACAGCTCACTGAAAATATTCATCAAATCACCCACCCTGACAGTCAACGGAACGATTTCCCACAGTGGTTGCAGCTATGCATCATTTTACTGCAGGGACAAAGCGTCACTTACAACATATTGTTTAGATCATCTTTGGTTGTAACTTCCAGAAAGCAGAGCGATCAAATAAAGAAAGCTGAAGGTTAAAAGGTGAAAGGGAGGCAAGGGTACAGATTGGCACTCCATTAAAGGACGAGGAGAGAAACAAAGGACGTAATGTGTACAATATATCGCTTGGCTGTAAAGACTGCAGACTCGTTTTGACATCCCCATAACAAAACGTCATAGCGGCTTAGGAGAGAGAAATTACATTGTTTGAAATGATATTTAACTTGTAGTGTACTCAGAAAAAGTGTTGGCCTGTTTGCTTAGAGTATGCATTAAAATATATGGTAAATCTTTTATGGTGTTTTTATAGGGTGAATCTCATGATAAAACGTCTAAAAGAGAACCCCCCCCCACTAAAAATAGGTTTTTGGTTAAGTAATTTGCATAAGAGGAATACAGTACAAAGTATAAAATACAATCAGTTTTGTATATAGGGTGTGAATAACACATTAGGGTTGATCTGGTGGACATTGCAGGACTCCAAAGGCATGTGAGGGTGCAGGCTTTGGGGAGCCAGCTGTATTTGTCCTCCTTCCCTAAATCTGTATCAGCAGTGCACTTCAGACAGACAGACAAGAGCGTCAGGCCTCAACCGGACAGACGTGCTCTGTACAGTGTTGGTACTAATCAAAACACAGTAGATAAATCCTTATTGCTAATGCATTTCAGAGTACAGGTGTCATCAACTTAGAAAAAGAGCCATAGGGTAAGAAAATGCTAAAAAAAGAGTCTAATACTGTGCTTAGGGTTCATATAAAACAATAACTGTGTAGTTGAGTCCTTTCCGATGCAACTGTCAAAAATGGCTGCCATTTTTTTCATAAGGCCAAGAGTGGTATAAACCAATGTGGTGACGGAGATGAGTGACTCTACATGTCAGCTTTGACGAAGGATGCAAATAAGCTGTCCTCTTGTTCCATGAGAATCTCTGGTTTTCCATACTCCATGATGCTTCCTCGCTTCATCACAATGACTAGATCAGCCGTCAGGATAGTGTGGACACGATGCTGTGGAAAACAGGCACATTCAAGTAGATGTGTCAGTAGAAACACATTTGCACACATCACCTTAGCTGTTAAGATTATGTTTTACTGTGCCCTTTTGTTGCTCAGATCGCTGCAAGATTCTGTAATCAAAGTCAGTAGCGGCTCGTGGGTTTTAAAATAGAGGAGGCACACATATTGGTCTGGGGATCCCTGCCGATTATTATTATTATTTGCTTAACCACTTTAAAATGGCTTTTTGGTTTCTTTTAGTCAGAAAACGTAAAGAAAACGACACACATACAGCAAGATAATATAATTTCACTTAAAGTTACCTGGCCTATCACTTGAAGCAAACATCCATCCCTTCTTAAAAGTCTGTGTTAAAAGAGCCGACTGCTGTAACGTTAGCCTATATCCAGTTAGGCGTGTTCTCCCTTTATTTTTAATTAGTATATATACTGTTTGAATGACAGCTTGGTAAATCTGTTGGCATCAAACATTCAATATCGCTACTAATAAGTACTTGGTACATTATCAGCGCAGCTGGAGGTGTTCAAACTAATATCACATAATTTACGTCTCTATGATGATTGGTTGATATACCAGAAGGGAGGCTAGCCTCCTCTACGAGGTTTCTTTTCTCAACACTCCTCAGCGCTGAAAGTGAACACTCGATGCTGACTGGAGATCAGCTCAGCTCTGCCCCTGGCCTTCCCCTACCCTTCTCTATCACCTAGCGGTTGTAATTACATCAGCAGATTCAGCACATTCGCGATAGAAAAGCGGCACTTTCTAACTTCAGTAACATTATGGTATTACAGCTTACAAACTACAAACAAAAAATACACATTCTGAGCCATGAATTGAAATGAATTGTGAATTTTGTTAACATTAAATCATCCTCCTCCCATTTTCACCTCAAAATACAATCAGTTTTGTATATAGGGTGTGAATAACACATTAGGGTTGATCTGGTGGACATTGCAGGACTCCAAAGGCATGTGAGGGTGCAGGCTTTGGGGAGCCAGCTGTATTTGTCCTCCTTCCCTAAATCTGTATCAGCAGTGCACTTCAGACAGACAGACAAGAGCGTCAGGCCTCAACCGGACAGACGTGCTCTGTACAGTGTTGGTACTAATCAAAACACAGTAGATAAATCCTTATTGCTAATGCATTTCAGAGTACAGGTGTCATCAACTTAGAAAAAGAGCCATAGGGTAAGAAAATGCTAAAAAAAGAGTCTAATACTGTGCTTAGGGTTCATATAAAACAATAACTGTGTAGTTGAGTCCTTTCCGATGCAACTGTCAAAAATGGCTGCCATTTTTTTCATAAGGCCAAGAGTGGTATAAACCAATGTGGTGACGGAGATGAGTGACTCTACATGTCAGCTTTGACGAAGGATGCAAATAAGCTGTCCTCTTGTTCCATGAGAATCTCTGGTTTTCCATACTCCATGATGCTTCCTCGCTTCATCACAATGACTAGATCAGCCGTCAGGATAGTGTGGACACGATGCTGTGGAAAACAGGCACATTCGTGTCAGTATGTCAGTAGAAACACATTTGCACACATCACCTTAGCTGTTAAGATTATGTTTTACTGTGCCCTTTTGTTGGCTGCAAGATTGCAAGATTCTGTAATCAAAGTCAGTAGCGGCTCGTGGGTTTTAAAATAGAGGAGGCACACATATTGGTCTGGGGATCCCTGCCGATTATTATTATTATTATTTGCTTAACCACTTTAAAATGGCTTTTTGGTTTCTTTTAGTCAGAAAACGTAAAGAAAACGACACACATACAGCAAGATAATATAATTTCACTTAAAGTTACCTGGCCTATCACTTGAAGCAAACATCCATCCCTTCTTAAAAGTCTGTGTTAAAAGAGCCGACTGCTGTAACGTTAGCCTATATCCAGTTAGGCGTGTTCTCCCTTTATTTTTAATTAGTATATATACTGTTTGAATGACAGCTTGGTAAATCTGTTGGCATCAAACATTCAATATCGCTACTAATAAGTACTTGGTACATTATCAGCGCAGCTGGAGGTGTTCAAACTAATATCACATAATTTACGTCTCTATGATGATTGGTTGATATACCAGAAGGGAGGCTAGCCTCCTCTACGAGGTTTCTTTTCTCAACACTCCTCAGCGCTGAAAGTGAACACTCGATGCTGACTGGAGATCAGCTCAGCTCTG